TAGAGTACGTAGTTTCTTCTACAGAACACAGACTTAAAGACATTTTCAGCATTTCAGTGGCCTTGAATAAAATCAGAACGGCCCAAAGCAATTTGCTTTTACTCACACTGCTAAGTAATTCTGTGCTGTATAAATTAATCTGGTTCGTTCTTTGAACGTTTCATTTGCGGATGCACTTAAGTAATTTCGAATATATTTCGAATAGCGGGTCCACAAGAGTGAATTTAACTTTTGTCAATACTGGTTCAGTACAAGTCATCAACCTTTTATGAGAGAAGAGCCATCTTTTGTAATATTCTGAGAAAAAAACAACTTAAGTATGACTTTTCAATAACAACTTCAAAAATACGCTAACAGGCTAATTAATTACATTTTCCATAACCACGAAATAATTAAAAAGTAATTCTGCAATACAAATGCTGGAACACAACAATAATTCTAATGAATTATGAAGAGCTAATTGAATGCATTGCTCACAGTGGCAGCGCGATTAGGGCGTGGACCATGATGTTGGACACAAGGATCGTAGGTTCGAGTCTGATTCACGTTATGGATGCTTTGTCCGCGTAGGAAGAAGGCCTTGCTTGCTAAAGGCTGATCGATCAATCATCCTACCAAATGTCTAAATACATTAAGAAACCTCCCATACGTGAGAAGGCCAAGGTCCTTCAAGGACTGTGGAGCCAAAATAAGTTCATAGTACGACATGCGTCTGCGTGTTTGCTGTCAGTTGCCGATTCTTAACTTAATCGCTACTTTACCTAGAGTTAAAATAAAGATCTATAATTTTCTTAAAAAAACATCTCTGAATGAGTGCACGACATACAACATATACCTGATTAAAGTTCGTAACTTTTATTTAAAACAAATATAATATGGTGAACGAAATACAAGAATAAACAATTGGCGTATCTGAACTGATCATCAGCTTCGTCAAAAAGTTATAATTGCATAAGGCGGGTCCGAAGGTCTGATGCTAACTAGACCTGCCATCAACATATTGTGTCTGGCATAAATGAATGTGTGTGAATGAAAAGGATATATGTCAGTATCTTTTCAAAACGGCCTTTTTATAGTATACCATTCTTTAAGTGCAGACCCATGCATGACTTTACGTCATTTTTTACAAATGTTATGAGATAGCATGTCTCTATCTTGTGCCGTTTCATAACCACGGTTGTAGAGCCTTTAACTACTATTGCAAATTGGAAGCTGCAAATCGACCGTTCCCACACGAACCTCAGCAAAAATGTATTTTATTTTCGCCAGCTATGGGTAGGCAGACGTGTTTGGATTAAACAGGCCAAACCTAAAAATAGTGTCACACTTTTATGTATATTATGAAAGGCAAGCTATGACAGGACCTGATGAAATATGTTCCTTATTACCGGATTACGTCACTAATTACGTATTTGGAACTGTCAAGGAACTGCTTATTTTTTTTCCGACAGCTGTCAGATTCCTTACGACGTTGGCTGCTAATGGGTGTTCATCAAAATACTTCAATACTTCTTCGTCAGACGATCCTGTGACTGGAAGTTATGGCTCGTTAAAAACGTTCTACACAAAACAAACAGGGTGAAAACATCTGAAGAAAGTTGATAAGAAATCGAGCAGAAGAGGATGTTTCAAGTAGCCAGGTACAAAGACAATTTCAGCACATAGTACGAATGGTAATTTTAATCTTAATTTTAAAAAAAGAACGCCATATCAGTACAGTCCAACGGCAAAGCTGTGTAATGTGAAATGAAAAGACACTCATTCCTGGTTAGATCAAATATGTACGAACAATGTAGCATCAAGAAGTACACCCTGAGAAAGCATGCCTATACCACCCGCTGGAGCAGCAGGAAGTCAGTCGAAATCAGGTACAGCGGATGTGTAATTCAGTGGTTCCGTTTGTTATCATCAGTCAACAGCAGCGCGCGAGGGAGCTGACTGTGTTATCTCCAAGGCAGACACAAAACCCTTCCTGCATTTCTCGCACCAACAGACGGCTTGCATACGGGAATCGCGTTATTCCATTTGACGTAATTTCCTAATCCCAGTAAACTTTGCGTGATGAAAAATATTAGCCTATAAGAAAAATATGATAACTGCTTTTCCTGGTTTTGACTTTTTTGTCTTTCCTTAAAATAAAAATGGAATTAAATAGTTTGTAAATTCCAGTATTCAAAAGCATAAACATGACAATCTTCTGGGTTGTTAAGCTGTGTAATCAGGTAGAATGTTACCGACGTTTCAGAGATACATGCTGTCGCTCAGCCATTGTTCAAGTCCCGTAGAGACCAATGTTTTTTATCTTCATTTTTTAAATAATTCTCAAACTGAGACACGAATTTTCTCTTAAGATATAAGCACAAATTTTCGTACTCAAATTTCGATATTCAAACTAGTCCACCATTGTACTAGTTTCTCTTTGAAGAAACCGTACTGCATCAGCGCTTTTAGACACGACACATTCCTGTAAGCCAACAAGATCATGAATAAGCCCCACCGTAAAGGTTCCGACTAAACTGGTGTTACCTCCGTATTTGATGGAAACACTTATATATTTAAGACTTACACACCGTAAAACATCTTGAGCGTACTGCAAAGTCTACACGGTCTAGTTCGTTTCATTGTTTGGGCCTCTATAATATTTTAATGAAGTCGGTATCTTTGTGCAAGACAGATAAAGGCGTCACAACGAACTTAGATAGGATCCTATCAAGACAAAAGCGCTGTTTATTTTCCCCGTGTATAGTGTATTCACCACCGTATTTTTATGTCAGCATCTCCAACACTATTCTTCTGGTTGCTAAGTAAACACAGAACAGCCATAAAACAAAAAGTTCAAATAGAAAATTTCACAAGGAATAGCATAAGGCGACTCTCATTACACCAGGGGGTTGCGTTCCTGCGAACTTTTAGCCCATTTTACATTCTTATAAACTGGAGTCTACATTAATTTTTTTATTCATAATAGACAATTCCTTTACACGAAGTTATAAAGACTTATGAAATGTTCCCCAGCAGCAGTTCATATTAAGATGGTAGGACATGAACGGTAAACCTACAGACGTCATCAGCAACTCCAAAGAAAATAATTTATACCCAGTGATATGTCTGCTGTTGATTTTTTTACATCAACATAATTTACGACTACTGACTGAGGGCAACGACTTTTATCCAGAAAACCTGGAGGAAAGATACCACTTGGTAGATGTTGGGATAGGTTTGAGAATAATGTTAAAAATGTATCTTATAGAAATAGGATATTAGAATGTGGAATGTTTTCACCTGATTTAAAACAGGAACAAGAGACAAGTCGTTTGTGAGCATGGTAATAAAATGTAGTGTTCCATTGCCGGCGAAGAATTCCTTTACCAGCTGAGTGACTATTAACTCAAGAAGAAACCAGCTTCATACAGTTGGACATCTTTATCACTGATTAGCTCTCATCACACTAGGTCCTGTATTTGTATCTTTATAAAATGAACAAGATGATGTTAAACAGCTGAAAATGCATTCGGAACACCATGGTGAAATGACCGTAAATGTGAAAGCCAGAAAATTTTCTTCACAAGGCAACACGAATGATTTTCAGGAGCATTCGGTTTGTTTTTCTGAGTCACCGCGTCCTTTGCATCTTGGACGAAGAATGGAAACTGGAATCCGTCTGGTGCCCGCGGACCGCCAGTTCATAACAATCACAGACTGGCTAATTGTAGAACATCGTCAACGGAACGCACAAATATTTAACTTTCATGTTTCTAAAGACAGAATACCCAGCCTCTACACCATATTGCCTGTCAATGGAGACAAGGCTATGTTTATCTTCTGTAAACAAAAGATTGCAGAACCAAAAACATCCTGCTCAGCACGCAAACAGGAGGCACTGTAAATATTTCTTCTGTTCATTCAATAACATTTACACGCCCGTGCCACATATTGATTCACTGTTGAAATTACCGAACATCACCTCATAAATCTGTGAAATCTAAAAGGAGACATGGTTCTGGAAGCAAAACATACATAACCATCTCAAAAGACGGAAATAATACTCGTTGTTATATCCAAACCAAGGCAAATGGTTATGTGACGAGAAACTGAATTAGCGACCCCACGGCTCTATTTATTAGCTAGATCCTGACTATGCCCTTATGTACATGCCTGGCTCCTGTCGGAATACATACAGACGGAAGAAAGCCGCTGATTGTATAAAAATAAGCATAAGTAACAAGTTTACCATCTTTTATTATTGCTGTTGTACGATTAGAGGTTTTCACTACGGTGAGTCTGAAGATGTCTGTCTTCGAATCGTATTATGTGTACATATTTCAAGTATCAACGAAATGCTGTGGATGACGTGACGTATTGATAGTGACTAACAGCTGAGTGTAATAGAAATCTAGGGTTGAAAGCCACTGATGAGCTCCAGAGGTAGCGAGAGATATAGTCGGCGTAGTAGTTTTTGGCCGGGGGAATTTTCAAGGGGAAGGCTAGGAGCGAGTCACTTGTGCGATGGTATAATGCTGACTGCACCGAGAAGCTTATCGGACTGAACGCCCAAACAAAAGAAATACACTGACCGTGCCACCTCAGGTACACAGACTAGGCCCGTCCGCCAGCTCCTCCACCGGCCAAAAACTACTGCGCCGACTATACAGGTCATTTACAGATATGATCGGAGGTATTTTGTGAATCGGTAACAACACACGGGCCCAATTATATATTTATACTCGGTGGCGTTGTGCAGTAGAATGTTTTCAAATCGAGGTAAAAGGCAAGTTGCTACATTCGTAGCTGTACAATCTAGGCTTACTTATAGGTATCTTTATCTGAAGTCGTACATTGTAAAGTTTTAGATAGACGTTGTTAGATTGAGGCCGTTAGACGCTACAATTCAAAACACAGGACGCATTTAATATTTTAGTCACATTAATTATTGGTAAAGCGTCATTCGAGATATACAACACAGACTGTCCTTTGCTCGATCACTTTGATGGGATCGTTACCTGTCAGTTCATCGGCGTCGACGTCTTGCAGAACCAGCACTGCGATCGTCTGTGCAGCTGGAAGTCCCCAGCCCGCGAGATGGAATAACGACGAATGTTGTTGGATTCGTTCGTGAGTCCAACGAAGAGCGGCGGCCAGGAACCAGGACATCGTTAACACCACCCACCTGGAACAACCCAAATTAATTACAACCCTAAAGCCACTGAATAACTTCTCGGTTAATACGATGAGAACTTCAATCGGAAGTGACGGATGAAAACCACGAGCGTGGAAACAAAAGTCCCTGGCTTATTACGTTCATGGAAATGCAAGGAGTTTTAAAACACTGTTAATTTGATTGTCAGGGTGATTACGTCAAGAAGAATGGGATTGGCGGGTCATGTGGCGCGCATGGATGGGGCGAGAGGTGTGCACCGGGTATTGGTCGGGAACCTGAAGGGAAGAGACCGCTGGGGAGACATAGACGTAGATGGGAGGATAATCTCAGGCGGGATCAATGGGAGATAGAAGCTGAAAGCATTTCAATAATTAAATTGTCATTTAATTATTATACACATGGTCTACATTTTCGTCAATAGTAAATAAGCTATATGTGAATCATTAATAGAGGTACTTGTATATATCTATGAAAACTATTTTTCTTGCTGCCGTCTTTTGTTAGTACGCAAGTTCGTGGCAGTACGTCTACCATAAAACTAAACTTACAGTGTACAGGCCTATAAACAGAGGCAGAGATACGGCGAGACAGACGGACATACTCACTCACTCACTCACTCGCAGCTACGTGATAGAACAAGAAATGCAATTCCTTCAAAACCCTAAAAACCGTTTTGTCACTCCCGCGCCTCTGAAAATCGGCCTATAGCTAACAGATCATATGAGCTATCATTTTCAGGTATTTTAAAAGCTTCTTTATACTCCAAATTGTAGTCGGATATTAGCATTTGGGCACAATGCACCGAAAATTAAATTGGTCTCTTTTTTATGTCTTATTAACTCAACATTCATGCACGACACAAATCTCTCTCATTCTTTAAGGGAAGGAAAGAGTTGTCGCGCGACCGCTCTGATCACCAGCCGACAAACTGGCAGGAGACGAATATCGCTGGAAATACATTATGTTCCAAAAAGATGTACACACACAAGCATTACATACATCAGCATTGTGTATGTATCTTTTTTGGGACAGCCTTCAATATCGGCTCATCGTAACTAACCAGGAGGCCAAGACGTAATCCCTGCTGACGCTGATAAATCAAACGAGACTAATAATCCGTTGACGTTGTTACTTCTTCCAGACCAACGTTGTTTGCAATATATGTACGGTAATCATCCGTGTTATTTTTACGGTTATAACGATTTATTGTAGTATTTTTAAAACCCTAAAATATGTTATACTTAAAAGTGTTCATTTTAAGGCTGATGATCTATAAATACCGTACATCGACTTCAATTCTAATGCAATGTTTTCTGTTCCGCCAAGTCTACACTATTATATCAGTCATGTCTTCGTAATATAAACAATTAGCAGGAAGACAACCGACGAGTTTTACTACATAAAAAACGTGTTCTCTTAATAACAAATACATTCTAAATACGACCAAGGAGCAACGTGTTTGTAATAGAAAAATTATTAAAACGACATTTATTTCAGCTACACAAGCATTAAATACAATTTAAATTACACTTTAACATACCTAAGCAAAAAACACAGCAGTGTTTCCTTTTTATTATGCAACATTCCAGACGCTCAAGGCGCAAGCAAGGTAATTACACCTGTCAAAGCTAAAATAAATACGAGAAGTGTAATCAGCAATGTCGCATGAAAAGTATAAAAAGCTACCTAGACGAGATTCGCCATAACACGAGAGAAAGGAATGCTGTAGCTGTGGTATGTAGTAGAATATTGATCTTCCACTTAGCTAAGTCAATAATAAGAAAAATGTGATACGCTGGTAATGGTTCAAGTTTTGTTCTGTAATGGTATGCAGACTACTTAAGAAAGAGATCATGTCGTACTTATTTCCTGATAATAACGTTTGTTTTTTGGTTAATGCACAACGTGACCACGGGGGTCCCAGTTCAAGAACAATCTTGCCTGTACAGTATTTGTGGTCGACAACTGTGCATTGCAACAGGTTTTTATCGAGGTTCTCCCGTTTGCCTTTCCATTTACTTGCTTCATTATCTCCGCCCCTCAACCATTACTACATCACTGTAACACAAAATCTCAATAATTGGTAAAGCGTCTCTAAACAAACTACTAAATATGGCGTACGATATTTCTATCGTAACTTTTCTTTCCGAACCAGGGTCAAATTCTGGCAAACGCGCCAGAATAGTTACGCAATGCGCACATTTCTGTGCTAAAATATTCTTGGATAATACGTTCAATGTTACAATAGTAAGGCCTACATATGAGCAATGAAATATAATTCTGTTTTATATATTCGGTTGAATGCGTATATTAAAATAAAATATCATTCAGTATACTACCAGGTTTTACATAACCTGTCCAAATAAATTATTAACAATATTATTATGTATTATGTACCGATATCTGAAAAGTATGTTCATTCAGAGTTATACAGACTGAGCTACTGAGAACGTCGTTTAAACAAATAAAGCAGCATAGATGTATGCCAATCTTAAACCACCGTTGCCTTAGCATACAATTTGCACCTGTAACTTTTATGTTATTAAAATTTGAAGTAATGTTTACGAAACCTGACAGCAATGCGAGCAAAAGAATTGTTTCGTTTTACGTCCTAACCCAAGACTGAATTATTGTTATGAAACATTAAACCATGTAATGTAAAAACAAAGTTTCTAATTTATCTCGGGAAGAAAATAAGCAGACCACTAAGGCATGTGGAACGCGCAGTCTGTAAATACACAATCACATAAAAACCAACTGCTTATTTTTGTTGGTTTACATGCTGTCTCCCCGAATCTGGGCATACAAGATATCTTGTCAATGTTGTTGTTTACTTTCAAAATGTATAGGTGTTCGTATAAACAGTATTAACAACGTAACATTTGTCTAACATTAGAAACAGGCTACAGTATAATGCATTTTTAGTTCAGCGACTACAGTTACAAATGTCGTATTCATTACAACTGAGAAGGAGCATTTTATTTTTCGGTTAATAGTGAAACCCCACCACCATCAACTTATCTGGGATTTAATTCTGGGTAGGACTGAGGTTCTTTGAAAACCAATTACTACAAACTATACTTTAATAAGTACAGCAATGTAATTAAAAACACTGGTCCCTTTTATCAAATCTATTCCAACGAATTTCTGAAAGACAAATACATTATTGATGTGGAAACCTCTTTCTGAACATGGCAACTTCCTGCTACGATATACAGAAAGTCAGTGAGGCCTAGAGTGGGTAAATATTTTTCTGGGTTTTGACCCCGTATAGGAGCCGGGCCGTTCGGGGCAGAGGTTTTTTCCTAGCCTCTGTATCCTGACCGGCTCTGGGGCCCGCTTAGTCTCGTGTCCAATGGCAGTCGGGGTAACTTCTCGGGAATAAGGTGCCTCTTTGTAGGCAGAGGCAAAACGTGGTACTATTTTTTAAATAACACGAAACAAAATTTGGAACTCTCTTACTGAAACGAACATTACCTTGCTGCACTTTGGGAGGGGCGGCCTTTACAGACGCAAAGCACAGTCAAACAGTGCCCTTCGCCTCAACGTAAGATAAACTTTTAAGTAACAAAAACACAAGCATTCTCAAGCAACTATTTTCGAAATTCAAAGTATGACATTTGCTAGACATTCAAGAACAAATCAGTAGATATAGAATCTTCCAAATATTTAATTCGTTCTGGACGTTTCGATGCCCCCTGCACCCACTCGATCAATGAAATCCCAAGTTCGAATACCGCTTCGGACATGGATCGTGTCCGTGTACTCTTCTCATAAGGTGGACTTGAAAGTCGATCCCAAAACCTAAAAGCCTACTGTCAAGGAACAAAGCTTTTGGAAGAGGAAAGTACTACTTTCTTCACTCCCTTCTCTTCTCATAAACCTCTTTTGAAAGTCAACAACAGAAACAAAATAATCTACCTGGGGAATGAAGAATAAAGAAACTTGAGCCTGTGGGGACACGTCACATTTTTTTTAGGAAAAGTTCATATACGTTTTGGGCCGTAGACAAGTTTTCGTGTCATGTTTTATATAGATACACAATTCGTACCTCCGTGACGCTGAAGCACTTTGTTCACAGACGCTGCCAAAGTTCTATAAGCTCGGCTGCTGTTGCTGACACTTTACTTTATTTTTACCGGATGTATAAATCTAATTGATTCTCGCCTACAGGTTTCCATCACGTAGCTAGAGCCATATTTCATGCAAGTAAAAGTGTCTTATTGTACCTATGAAATGAAACGAAATGACTCGTTTCATGTGTGCCAGTCAAGAAGGCACATCCCACCATCAATCAAGATAAACATGGTTTGTATTTTCTAATATTCTTTTTTGTCCTTGTGGCCGAAAGTGTCGTGTTGTTAGGAGTTGGTCCTCCATCACAATCACAGCAGCAGGTAGAAGATTAACAAGGCAAAGAAGAAATTCCTAGCGGACACCTGGAAGGGATAACAAATCACGGGTGTGTTGGGGAGAGTCAGGTTTTGTCTAACAAGCTGAAACCTTCTTTACCTAACACAGCTTCGGGTCTCTCTAGTTTGTCAGCTTCAAGTTTGAATTAAAATCTTGGTGGCTGCCAACCAGCATTAATCATCCATTTAAGGAGATGGAAATACTAATTAATTTTAACTGAGCATATTTGGAAAACAACAGTGAAGTACATTAATCGTTCCTACAATTATATATCACAAAGAGGCCGTATAAAACCACACAACGTACAAGGATGACAGGCAAATGAGAACGTAATGCTTATTAAAAATGGACTGACAACGCTTCGAACTCTTCAGAGCATGGGGTGACACTATTTACTCTGAACTCTCAGACTTTTTATTAGCCCTCGAACACGATATATCAGGAGATAAAAAGTGCCAATCATTTTTATCGCACAGTCTGAAATGCTGATTTCATAACTTACAATCTTATAAAGGCTATTCACATAAAATACGCATCTGAAAGCTTCAGTATAAAGCCCTCGTTATCGCAGGAGTTTCCTCAGCCTACAGCCAGGT